GTATGGGAGAATTGATATTTATATCTCGAATATATAAATATATATATATATAGTGGCAGTGTGGCGTGCAGGCGGTGCGTGCACATCTATCCCCTCGCCCGCGTTCTGCGGGTGCGCGGATTTGTTCACACTCCCACTGAGCTGTGCGGAGGATGGGGCAGATCGGTGCTTGTGCGCACCCAAAAAAAAACCCCTGTTTAAACCGCGGGTAAAACGTAAATATCCGTATAAAACCTCTAGAGGACGGGGCAGGAGCGGCTTGAGCTGGCAGAAGCGCTGCTGTGCCTGAAGGTCTCATCACCTGCACATCCACGTCCACACGATTTTGGGGTGGGTTTGTGTGCCTGGGGATATTTAGTGCACAAACGGACGCGTATATTCACGTGTATCTCTCGGTCTCCGCACTCACGCCGTTATATTGCACGTTTGGCCCAAATGTATAAACGAAATAATATATAAAATACGCGAGATATAAAATTTGCTGAAGGACAGGAGCAAAGAGGCATCGTGTGCGGGGGCGTGTTTGCAAATGGCGTGTCCAGACTCCCGTAGGCACACCTATACTTAAATATGTGTAGATATGTATATATTTATCTGCGTTTACCCCTCATCTTTCGGCGGTGCCGGGTGAAAATAAGCCGGGTGGGTTCCCAGCGAAGGGATCCGGGCGGTTCAGGGCTCGGAGGCCGAGGGCGAGCGGTGCCCGGGCGGGCAGGAGAGAACGATCCCAATCCTCCGGCTGGAGCCGCCTCGGGGGCTCCGGGGGGACCTCAGGGGACAGCAGGAGGTGGGGTCGGGCTGTCGGCTACGGGGGAGAGAATTTTATTTCTGCTTTTGGGTAAGGTCTTATCCTGCTCTGGCAGCTCCAGCACCTTTGGGCAGTCGGTGCCAGCTGGAGAATCCCACTCGGTGGGGTTTTTTTCTCCCATCTCGGTTATTTGGGAGGACTCCGAGCTCAGGAGCGCGGCCAGATCCAGCAAATGGGGCGCATCAGGGCAAGGGGGGCTTTTCCACCTCCGACCCTCCTCCTTTTTCTTTTTTTCTCCGCCATCCTCTCTGGGTCTTTTCCTTTAGGCCTGGCTTCCCCGGGCGCCGGCAGAGCTCAGCCTGGGCAAGCCGGGAAGTGCAGGCAGGGTTTTCCCGGGCTGTGGGGAGATGGCTGCCTGCAGACCCTCGGCTGGAGCAGGGCTGGGGGCCCTGCTGGCAACACTCACCTTTGCAGCTTCCAGGTCCTCTCACTCTCCCTTAGGTGTTCCTCTTTATTTTCTTTCTCCCTGTTTCTCCTCCTCTCTTTTTCTGTTGGAGGAAGCAACGCTTTAACTTTTTTTTTTTTATTTTTTGGGGTGTACTTTTTCTTCTCTCTCTTTTTTTTTAATTTTTAATTATTACTTTTTTATTTTTTTGGTGAAATCTCCCTGCAGCGGCCGTGAGTGCATCCCAAAATTCCTCCGGGTTGAGGGAGAGCTGGGACACGGGGCAGCGCCGGGGCGCCTCTGCCGCCACTGGCTGCACTTGGAGGGATTTGGAGGATTTTGATTTTTTTTTTTCCCCCTTGTCAATCTCATTTGGCAAATAATAGCCTCTACTTACTAATTTTTTTTTCCTTTTCTTTTTTTCTCCATTTTTTTTTAAATCAGAGCAAATAATTGGTTCTCGAAGCACCCTTGAATCCGTACAAATAACCAGGTTATCATTTACTATATATAGCCCAGCGTGCTCTCTTCCAGAGGCGCTTAAGAATTCAATGGGCAAGTTTCCTGCTCGCCCTAATAAGATTATATGTTTAGAAAAATAAATTAAGCTGAATAATGCCAACACCGTTGGATTAATTTGGCTTCTGCTGGTGCAGCGGGAGCTTTGTTACTGGTTTCCCCATTTTCCGTTCCGGGTAGGAGTGGGTTTTCCCGAAGTTTCCAGCCTGCTTCGGCGGTACACACTCATATATGATATATACCCCCTCCCACCCGCCTATATACGTCTGCGATGGATTTCTCGGCGTGTGAATATATATATTTATGTGTATATGTACACAGAGGCATCGCACAGACATTGCACGCTCACAGCCGCGCTGTATTTTGCGTTGCACTGGATGGATTTCTTTGGGGGTGGGGGGTAGGGGGGGGGAAAGCGCCAGGAATCTCACTGATAGAGCTTTAAAAAGAGGAGAATAATACAAATTAACCTTCCATTACTGCTGCAGTCAACCATGACAGAATAGGCCAGTTGCGTGGTTGGTGACGTCTCTGTGTCCTATAGGAGCAAAGCTCGTGAGATAGCAGCTATCGCCTTGAACTCTCTTTATTTTATCGGAGTATGGCTGGTAATAAACAGTAATATTTAATTTGTCTGAGACCACAAATCGGCTTCTAGCTGGAAGGCTCCTTGCCTTGACATTCCAGTCCTGGGGAGCCGGGATTTGCCGTCTTTTTCTTCAGCTGCTTTATTATTTTTTTTCTTTCCCTCCTTCTCCAACCCCCCCCCCCCGCCCCAACCTGCAGACGGAAATAAATTCGATTTATTTGCATCGTTTTCAACTTGTCTTCAAGGTGTTTGAGAGCTAGTTTGGCACTGGAGAGGTGAGTGCTTTCCCAGGCAGCGGCCGTGCTCGGGTTCGCTCTTCCAAACTTCAGGGATTTTCACTTTTCCCTTTCTTTCCGGCGAGGGGAGGGAAGCTCGTGTTCTCTCTCGCCAGCAGCTGCGAGAAACCTTTCTTCCTCGTTGCTTCGTTTTCTTTCCTAAAGAGAAAAGCCTCTTCTTTTGGGGCGAGCTGGACGCTTTGGGGGGATGCTCCCAGCACATGTGCGGTGCAGGGCCGGCTGCACCCACCGCGTGCTTCCCCGGCATTCCCGCTTTATATTCCCTGCTTTCCATCCTTTTTCCCTTTGATTTGCACCTTTCGGAGCAGAGCCCAGGCGAGGGAAAGGGGCCTTTCCCCGCTTTCCCCAGGCCGGGGCTGGGGCCGCTCCCGCCGCCTTCCCCGCAGGGGAACAACCGCCCGGTTCGCTCCCTGGTTTATTTGTGTTTGGAAGGGCTCCACGGCTCCTTTCCCCTCTAAAAATAATGAAATATGGGACAAGCTTTGCTCTGTTTGTTTAAGTAGCATTCTCTGGCTTATTCTCTGCGGCTACAAGTGCAGTTATTTTATTATTCTTATTTGCAACCGTTTACTGTTGGCTGTTTCTCCTCAAGTAGCTGTTGGAACTGGCGTGCACATGGAAAGGGTTTGGGAGATGCCAAACTACACCCACATACGCGCCCCCCTCCCCGGTAGCCGCTCGCCCCCGGACTTTTCCCTTCCTCACCTCCAACTTTCAGAGGGCTCCGGTGTTATCGCGCCCCGCGAGCGCTGGGAGCGAGGGTGGATTTGCTGAAAACTTCCTCGAAATGCCCAAAAAAAAAAAAAAATATTACCGAGAGACAGAAAAGAGTGAAGGATTTTTTTTTGTTTTTTTCCGGTTGGGGGGGGACTGGACAGAGCGGCGAGAAGAGGGTGGGGGCAGGAGGAGGAGGAGGGTGGGCAGAGCAGATCTAAACCATGCCATTTATTCCGAGTCTTATCAAAAATCCGCCTCACCAATCTGGTTCTCTTCAGCCTGCAGAATGCGACAGGGAGGCTGTTTACCCTGCGCTGACCTATTCAACTTTACCCTCCCAATAATACATTAAAAAAAAAAAAAAAAAGGGAGCGAAGGAAGATGCAGATAAACCCACATCCCCGCTCCTCGCTGACGGGTTGATTATTTGAGCTCCGGGGGGCTGCGGCCCTCGGCCGTGGCAGAGCGGCGAGGGGTGAGGAAGAGGATGGGAAAGGGCAGGGGAAGGAGCCTGGATGCGACTAGAAGCGGGGACAAGGGCCACAGCCCCACGCACACCCCCCGGGGCCACCTTCGCTGGGTTTCGGTCTCGCTCGCCCGCGTTTCATCCCTTTTTTTGGGGGGTTATACCCCTTAGGAGAATATATTTAGGGGGGATCCCCCCCAGCCCCCCAATAAAAGGCCTCTGTGAGCACTAGCAAACATAGAGCTGGGCTTAAATCCCCACCTCTGGGCTGCCTTTGAGGGCGGGAGGGGGGAACTGGGGGTGGTGCGAGGTTAGCGGAGCCAGGGATTTATTTTAAGGGGTGTGGGGGGGAGCAGGATATTCCCAGGCGCTGAATTTTCTCTTTGGTTGGGAGAGATGGATGGAGGAGGGAGGGAGGGAGGGAGCGGAGAAGGAGGTAAAGGAGAGGGGGAGGGTTGCTGGGGAGTTTGATGATTGTCTTTGTGCCTTGTTCTTGTTTGCCGGCCAGAAAAATAGGCTGGAAAAGGAGGTTTGGGGGGGGGGGAGGGGGCGGGAGGGAGGGCTGTGTGAGAGGGAGTCTCTCCGGAGCAGGATCCCAGCTGGTTGGGCAGTGGGTCCCGGCACTTGGCGAACGGAGCTGGACGAGCCCACGTCACCTCCGCGCTCCTCTCCTCTCCTCCGCGCCCGGCTCCGCGCAGCCACCGCGGCAGCGCCGCGAACCTGCCCGGAGGAGCCACCCGAAACTTTTTTTTTTCTTGTCTCTTCTTTTTGCTTTTCCCGAGAGGGTGCTGCTTTCTTTTTTTCCCCGCTCTTTCGCCCTCTCCCTAATTTTTTTCTTTTTTTTTTTTTTTTTAATTACTATTTTTAATTTTTTTAATTATTTTTAGGTGGGGAGTAGAAAGAGTAGGGCTGGGGAGAACCGTGTCTTCCAGATCAGGCTGAGAAAGGGGTGGGGGTGGGGGTTTTATCTTGGTCTCAGGATCCTTTCTAGTGCGTCTGACAACCTGGAAGTGTTTGGAAAGAGCAGGAGAGAGAGAGAGAGGAGAGAGAGAGAGAGAGAGAACCAGGCTTGCGTTGGATAGATTTTTTTCTTCCAGGCTGGGTTTTCACATGCTGATCCGCAAATAAATAAATAAAAGGAAATATGCACACGAGAAGCCTGATCCCATTGTAATTTCCATTGCAAACGGGGAAAATAGACACACACATTATTTATATGGAGATGCATTGATTGCATGGAATTCAACAAGCAAGGTAACAGCTCTTCCATTGCCATGTATGTCCGTCGGGGTCTGTAGTCTGTGTGTGCGGGTGCGTGACCGAGGCAGAGCGAAAGTGGCTCGTTGGGGGCATTGTTGGCCACAAATCGGCTTCGCCGAGGAGCTGCGAGGCCTCGGGAGACGAGGGGGGGTGCAGGGGAAGGAGGGGGGGCCGCTCTCCCCAGGGCTCCCGCCGCGGTGTGTGGGGCTGGGGGGATGTGTGTGAGATGGGGCAGAGCTGGAACAAAAGCAGAGCGGGTGGTTATTTTATTTTATTTTATTTTTTATTCGCCCCCTTTTATATTTTTTTTCCTCCCGCAAACCCACTTGGCGTTACTTTAGCAGAGCAAGATGCATTTTTCATCCAGCCACCGCGGCCTGGTTCTGTCAAGCTCCATTTCTTCTCACGAGCTCTTTTAAGGGGAAAAAAAATTAGAAGCCACGGATCGCCAATTGCTCGTAGTTGTTGGGTTATTTTTTGTCGTCACGCTCGCGTATTTAAAATGATTATTATCTTTATATCTGCTTAATTATGTCTGGGCGCGGAGAGCACCGGGGAGGCTCGCTGGGGCAGGGCTGCGCTGCCATGGCCGGGTCCCTCTTTGTTTTAATAAACATGCTTTATTTTTTTTTTTTTAGTTGTATTATTTTCCCTCGCCCTCCCCGCTAACTTTGCCAGCTCAGGGGGAATAATAGCTCCAAGCTGGAGGGAAATCGATTAAAAAAATGGATAACCGGCACTTCCCAAGGAAGCAAAAAAAAAAAACCCAAAAAAAAAAAAAACCCCCAAAACAAAAAACAAACAACACACCACAACAGTCCAGGGGAAAAAAAAAAAAAAAAAAAGAGGAGGAGGGGAAGAGAAAAGCCTTAAATGGTCCCTGGAGCTGCGGCTCTGCCGCCGCGGGCCGGGCCCGGGCCCGGGGCAGCGGCTCCCGCAGCGCCCCGCGCACTTTCCGCGCTCTCGCAGCGGTTTCGCTTCGCCCCTCGCTCGGTCGCTGGCTGGGGTGCGATGGGAAAAGAGCCTTTGGGAAGGGAGGGAGGGAGCACGGCCCGCGTCTGTGTCTGATCTGTAGCTCCAGAGGTGCGGACCTGCAAGTCCCTTCGCTTTTTGTCCTTTTAAATTATATATACGTACATGTATATATTACCCACCACTAGCAGGGAAGATCATTTCTCCCCCCCCCTCCTTTCCACTCCCAATTTTCTTTTGCATTTAAAGGAGAATTGCCTTTTTTTCCTACCCCCCCTCGCTCTCTTTTATTTTTAACAGCTTTCAAATATTGTTGCAGGGCGAAGAACTCCTTTAAAAACATTCTCGTGTATTTAAACCCAGTATTGCCTCCATATGCTTGGCCTTTCAAAAGTGAATCCCCTTCTTCGAAACACGCAAGAAAGATTTTTTTTTAAAGCTACTAAAACTCTGTACTTCTTAAGGACAAAAAAACCCCCCAAACTAACAGATAATTCATTTGCTTTTATTTATTTTTTTTTTCCTAGTGCTGCGGTGAAACTTTTACCATTCCTGATAGAGCCTTTAAAGCTAAGGCAAAATACTGCTTTTAAAATTCGCTGTGGTTACTCGCATTAGATAGAAACCTTTTACTTTAAAGCTCTTTTACTCCGCTGGTGTAGTTTTACCCTAAATGTCATGGTTTAGTTCACTGCAGCCCCAATTCAACCCCCCCCCCGTTCACCAGCCGAGTGCACATTATTACCTTGCACAGAGTCTCGTCCGATTGATTTATTTTTTTATATATATATTTTAATTATCTCGTCCATCCTTTGCTTTTCTTGCGACTGCCCGGGGTAAGGGGAGAAAAGTCTTTTTATTTATTTATTTATTTAGTTAGTTAGTTAGTTAGTTAGTTCCTTGTTTATAAGAGAGGAAAGCAGTTGTATTTTCTTTGAAAACGGGGTGATAGAAGCGGCCTCGCGTGCCGGTGGTGTTTTCCCGGTCGGAACTGGAGTGGGGTGGAAGCTCCTACTTCCCTGGGAGGAAAGTGGGGACTTTAAACCCCCTGGGCCGCAGAGAGCCCGGGGGGATTGGAGGCGGTGAAGACACGGGGGAGGCTCTGTCGCCCCCACCTCGGACCCCTCGACCTCCAGAGTCATTTGTGTGATGAGCTGGCCGGTCCCCAGCCCCTCGGGTGCCTCGTTCCCCGCGTCCTGCCAGCCGGCCCTAAAATACGCTGTTTACCTTTTCCAAAAGATGCATTCAATAATACCGCCTCCCCCTTCCCCTCCCTCTCCACCTCCCCCCCCCACCCCCACCCCCCCAAATCCTATCATCCCTTGCGGGCTGCGATAATAAATAAAAGTCTTTATTTCTCCCTCTCCCAAAGTTAAAGGGCCTCGTTCCCTCCCCGGGCAGCTGGAAGTGAGTTGCGGGATTGCCGGGCAGCCCTGCCCCGGCGCGGAGCTATAGAAATATATATATATATATATTTTATTAAACGTCAGCGTTGACTTATGCGTCTCTTATCTCTGCTCTCTCCCCGATGTGTGCCTGCAGTGGGGGATTCGGCGAAGGAAGCTCGTAACATGGCGGATAGCGAGGAAGGCTTCGGGCTCCCCACCACGCCGGCGGACTCGGAGGCCAAGGAGCTCCAGGCTGAAGCCAAGCAGGACACTCAGCTGGGGGCCACCAGCAAGTCCCCCACCTCCCCCCAGGCAGCCTTCACCCAGCAGGTAAGGACTGGCGCTCCTCTTCCTCAACGCCCTCGTTATTTCATTTTTTGGTGTTATTTTTCCCTTTTCTCCGCGTTTTTTTTTTTTTCCCCTCAGCTGGGTGGTTGAGCCATTTTAGGCCCCACGGGGGCGAAAAGCCTCACCTGATCGCGGGCCTCATCCTGCCTGAGTGTTATTTAAGGTCGTGCTCAAGCGCTAAACCTGTGGGGAAGTGCGGGCGTGAATGTTGGGGTGCGTGGAGGGGCACGCAGGGAAAAGGACCCAAAATAACAGAGAGGGGAACCCGCTGAGGCAGCAGCAGACACACCCCCACAAGCGTCCACGCGTGGGTGTCCAAATGCACGTGTGAGCAGACACAGAGTGTATCTTTGCTGTGCCCGTGCATATTTGTGTAAGATATAAATGTGTAGTGTGAGATACAAATTTACATGTATTTATTTGTGTATATATGCACCCCTTGTCCAGCCAGGCTGGCACACACAGATACAGCCCATACCCACCCAACGGGCACTGAGGGCAGGTAGTTGCTGTCACGCGTGGGCACCCCCGTAACCACCCGGGGGCCAGACACACCTTGGGGTGCCCCTCATGCCCTCCGTCAGCCCTCGCCCCCCTGGTGCTGCGTGTTGCCGGGACACGCGTGGGATCCCACCCGGGACCCACCGGCTGCAGCTCCCGGAGGACTCCCGAGGAGAGCAGGACGAGGCGGCAGCGGGTCAGGCCATCCCTCGGCTTCTCCTTCCCTGGGAGCTCCCGGGGCTCGGAGCCGTCCCCCGGCGCTCGGCCCCAGCCGGCTCGGGGCAGCCCTGGGAATGCGGGGGGGAGAAAGGCGGGGAGAGGGGCTTTTCCACCGAGATTCCCTTTCCTTCGGCGGCTGTGGAGCCCTCCCGGAGAGCCCCGCTTCTCCCCTGGCAGGTAACCCTCCGGTGGAACCCCCCAGCCCGCTGTGGGTGCGGGCAGGAGGGTCGGCTGGGCCGGGGTGGGCACAGGGACTGGTCCCACCGTTTGTTTTTGGAAACCAACCCTCGAAGCGTTTGACGGGGCGATTTGGCTCCGTTTTGAGTGGAGGGGAATGGTGTGCTTGGCTTGGTGCAGGGATGTGTTATCCCCGCGGTGGCATCTGCCCCAGCCGGGGAGCTCGCAGTTTTTGGGTGGTTGGGGCCGGGGAGAAGAGAGAAAATAAGGCGGCGAGGGGAGCAGAGTAACACCCCCCCACACCGCCCTGGCTTGCAGAGCGCAGCCGGCGGGTGTAAATCGCTCGTGGGAGGGTACAAATCTCCTCCGGCTGGCTCCGGGAGCAGCTGGGCCGAGGCGCTGGGGGATTGCTCGGGTAGGATGCGGTCGGAGCCGGCTCCGGGGGCTCCCTCCCATCGCCTCCCCGCCCCAGGAGCACCGAGGCCCGCAGGACTCTGTTCCAGGCCCTCCCTGAGCAGCATCCCCGTGCTCCGGCCTGAAATCCCCCTCTCCCCGGCTTTGCGGCAGGATTTTCCCGGGAATGCCCCGAGCTCCGGGGCCTTTTCCCTCCGAGCTTCCCGCCGGGGCTGCCCCCGCAGCGCTCGGGGCTGACGCTCTGTGCCTCCCGCTCCGCAGGGCATGGAGGGCATCAAGGTGTTTTTGCACGAACGGGAGCTGTGGCTGAAGTTCCACGAAGTGGGGACGGAGATGATCATAACAAAGGCCGGGAGGTAAGAGGAGAGGGGTGTCCGCGTTCCCCGGCGTGTTTTGGGGGGGGAAAATCGCAGCCGCGTGGATGGGGGTGCGTGTCCACCTCCCCGACATTGCGACAGTCACGTCTCTCGTGTCCGAGACCCCCCCTCGGATCGAGAGCACCCTCTGAGCCCTGCCCGGCCGTGAAGAGCCCTCCCTGCCCGGATATATTCAGGAGAAACTGTTTCTTCTGGCTTCTTTCTTAACCAGAACAGTTGGATCGTTAATCCCAATTTCAGGCCTTTGGAAACTTTCCAAGAGAACGCGAGTTGCAACCACTTGGCCAAAAACAAACCTTGTTTAGAGCAGCTCGGTGGGCTATAATTATTATTAATTTAATTATTATTATTAGCAGATAGGCCCTTCTGCATTTTAAAAAATGTTTTCTGCTGTTTGACAGAGTTTCTTATTTATTTTGCTCACTCTGAGGTGAATATTCCCAGCACACCCACGCACCCCATTTAAAAGTGTATGCGGTCTTTAGCTACTGTTTATATAGCGATAGCAAAGCTGTTTAGATGCAGAGATAGATCCACATGCTATTTATTTGCGGACGTAACGTTTCTATACGTGTGTTTATCTGCGTGGGTGTGTAGAAAAATATACAGCCTTGCAAATCCAACTTTATTGGGGCTATAATCGATTCCATGACCGGCTTAGTAAAGCTGATCCGCAGATATTTATATATGTATGAGCGTGTGTTGGAGGGGGTTTAACATTATCCTTAATATTAATCTGTTAAATTGAAGAGTGGCCAGCGAGACCCAGTGAAAGAGTCTCTCCAGTCCCAGCGGCAAACTGGGGGCAGCCCGAGGGAGGCTTTTTCGTTGTAATTTTAAATTAGAATACTTGGAGAAGGGGGGGGGGGGGGGGGGGGAATCCACCCCTCCACGCGTAGCAATAGTAGTAGTTTTAGACTGTAAGGGCAGAATAAACAACGCAGAGTCAAACTTTCATTTTGCTCTGTCATCTGGTATTTGTTGTGGTCTTCCAAAATTTGCCTGAAGAGGGAGGGAAAAAAAAAAAATATGGAGCTGGTTGGATGAAGTTTTAGCGAATAGATCTGTCTCACGTCTCGCATTCCCCTTGAATCTCGCTGCTGCTGCTGGAAAAATCGGTTTTAAAGAAGGGGTTTGTGGCCAAGGGGACGTGGTATGGAGAGGAGAGGGGGGATAAGGCCGGTGCCAGGACCTCCCGAAAAAAACCCGGTTCACAGGGGAAAAAAAAGACAACTCTAGAAGGGAGACAGAAACCACCTTGCAGAAATTTCAAACAAATATCGCCGGGGACAGAAATCTCGTCTGGAGAGCAATAAACCAGACATTTACAGTGCAGGGGCTCGAGGGGAGATACGGGATAGGTTTCCTTATTTCTAGAATTCCCCACGTTTATCGTTGGCGAAATCCACGGTCCTGCTGCTCAGGTGTTGTCGGCGGAGTTACAGATCGATCCTCAGGTGGAATTGGTTTTTTTCTCCCTTAAAACTTTAAAGTTCAACCCCCGTTTTCTCCGTTGGTCGCTTTCCACCCCCTCTCACCTTTTTACAACCGAATTAAAGCCCAGCCCAGGTGCCTCACGGCAGCGATAAGATCCCGAGCCTCGGAGAAGAGCTCAGTATTTTTAGAGGTGTGGGTTTTTTCTTTTTGGGTTTTTTTTTTTTTTTTCTGTTTATGCGTGTTTTAAGTCCAGGGATACATTTTCATCGGCTTTATTTTTAAATATTTGGAAAGCTTCAAACTAAAATAACAGCAGTGTTTTAAGTCCCTGCCTTGCAGTAATGGAAAATATTTCGAAAAGCCCCTGTCTTGTGTGTATCCGAGGGTTTCCAAGGATTTGTCAGGTGTGTTTGCTGGTGTCTCGGGAGGCGCTCACGGCTGCAGTAGGTTTGCTCTTTACACCTGAGTGCGTGGAGGGTTTTCTTCCTCCTTATCTGCCCATAGAACCATTGATAGGCATAGAGGTGATTAATATTTACGGATTTAAACGTATACATTTCTCTCTCTATAATATATTATAATGTGTTTCTATAAATACATGTATTTCAAACGATATATAAAAATATATTTTTTTTCTAGAAGTATCTATATTTTAACTTTATGAAAACCTTTTTTTTTTTTTTTTTTGGCAAATCTCCCCTCCTGTTCCAGCGGCTTATGGACAGAGGGAAGTAACTTGCTTCCAAAAAGTTCTCACGGTCAGATTTGTTCAACGAAGGGGCAGTTGAAGCCTTGGCGAAACAAATAATTAGTCAAAACACGCGCAGGCACACGAGTAGGTGGATAAATAAATCCGCCAGCGTCGAAATTGCGATTCTGCCTCGAAAAATCGCCCGGTTCGCCTCGTTCGGGAGCTGGAGGGGGAACCAGCGGCACCCAAACATGTGCTGCACCCCGAGGGAAGGGTGCACCCTTTCGAGAAGGTCCATTTGAGAGGGTGGCGTTGTCCTTTTGCTAAATGACCCCCTCCTCTATGTCTCCTCCTCGCAAACACGCTCTGAAACCACCCTGGCAACCTTGCTTTTCACTGCTCTTATACTCGTGTTTTTGTGTTTTATTTTTTTTAACAGGCGTATGTTCCCCAGTTACAAAGTGAAGGTCACTGGACTTAATCCAAAAACGAAGTACATCCTGTTGATGGATATTGTACCAGCGGATGACCACAGATACAAATTCGCAGATAATAAATGGTATGCACGCGTGGGGGAAAGGGGGAGGGAGGAGACCTCTGTGTCGGGCTCTCCGGGCTGCCTGGTGGGGAGATATCCCTCAGTCAGCGGCTCGTCCTTCTTTTTCCCGTGCAAAAGAGAGATGTGGGGCTGCAGGAGCCTCACCTGAGCGTGACGGGATGCTCCCACAGTCCTCGGGAGAGCAATGCATCCAAAAAAAAAAAAGAAGAAAAGGAGAAAAGTCTGTCGCAATTAACGAACGATAACTAATCCTGTTTGAAGATGAGATTGTTGGCGATTGTGGAGCTGATAGTCCAGTGATATTAAGGAAGGGAAAATCTTTAAGAATTGGTACTTTATTCCTGGCTTGAGTGCCGGGAATTGGGGAAAGGGGGAAGGATGGGGTTAAACGGGGAAGCAGCGAGAGCCATCTCCGACGGGAAAGGTGCCAAGGAGCTCAGTAATTCCCGAGCGGTGTTTGAAATGCCTTTTCTCCCCAAGCACGGCGTGACCGTCCGGGCACCGCGCACCTGAGAGGGAGGGATCCCACCGGAGGGGCTGGATGGGGAGAGCAGGAGCCCACGGGAGGGACCCCAGGAGGGGCTGGATGGGGAGAGCAGGAGCCCACAGGAGGGATCCCACCGGAGGGGACGGATGGGGAGAGCAGGAGCCCACGGGAGGGGCTGGATGGGGAGAACAGGAGCCCACAGAAGGGACCCCAGGAGGGGCTGGATGGGGAGAGCAGGAGCCCACAGGAGGGATCCCACCGGAGGGGACGGATGGGGAGAGCAGGAGCCCACGGGAGGGGCTGGATGGGGAGAACAGGAGCCCACAGAAGGGACCCCAGGAGGGGATGGATGGGGAACAGGAGCCCAAGGGCAGCCCCCACGTGCCCGGAGCTCAGTCCTGTGTCCCCACGCAGGTCGGTGACGGGGAAGGCAGAGCCGGCCATGCCCGGGAGGCTGTACGTGCATCCCGACTCTCCGGCTACCGGTGCCCACTGGATGAGGCAGCTGGTTTCCTTCCAGAAGCTCAAACTCACCAACAACCACCTCGATCCCTTCGGCCATGTAAGTACCAGGAGCGGGAGAAGGGCTACCGGGGTCCCACGGTGTGTCCAGCACCCACGAGTGTCCCCCCACCCCTGGCAGTGTCACCCACCCCCAAATCCGTGGTGTTGGGGGGGTGTTATTTCCTTCCCTGGCTGGGATGAACCCCGATGAGGGCCCCCGAAAATAGAAGCATAAACCTTAAAACCGGGTTATTTCACCACGCTGTGTGGGAATTGAGTACAGACCCCGTGGGCTGGAGCTCGCGAGTGGGTCAAAATCCCCCGGCTTAATCGAGTACTTGCCTACCTGGTTTTAATCGCACGGGGAGTCTCGGATCGTTTAAAATCCGCTCGCTGCCTGTGGGAATTTACCTAACAGGTATAATCAAACAGGCATAATTATTGGAGGGAATAGGACCTAAAACCATGAGGGTACCTCGATTAAAAAAAAAAAAAAAAAGAGAGAGAAAAAGGCAACAATAACTAAAGACAGTAAAAAAAATTGAAGTCCCGCTAGGACTTCTTGGACATAAAAAGAACTTTGCGAGACTCGTGAGGCCGTGAAAGTTTGTGTGAATTCTGCAGCCAGGAACAGCCCTCCTT